CCTCCCCCGAGGCCCCGCTGCTGCAAGTCCTCACTGGCGCACAGCATCTTTCACGGACGCTGCTTTGGGATTTTGTCAAAATAAACCAGTGCCACAAGGGAAACAAAAAGCAAGATTTTTCCCTTGAGGGGGGTTTCAAGCTCTCACTGCCATGAAGGTGCCAGGAGGCTGTTTGCTGCTGCGGCTGAGCCAGCAGTGGGGAATCCCAAGGTTCCCAGGTGCTGCCGGAATTTGGCTGAGGCCCCAGAGGCTCCGGCGCCGTGAGGGAGGATCACGGTCCCAGGAGGCCCCGTCCCGCCTCAGCATTAGTGCTCAAGTGCTGGAGGACCAGAAACTCCTCCAGGAGCTGCTCCCTGAAGCAGGAAGGGGGCTGTGGTTTTCCATACCCTCCGCAACGCCGTGCCCTCACCCTGATGGCTTATAGCCTGCATTTCATTTGGTTTGTGAAGACATCCAGATCCTTTGAGGGGGCTTAAAATAGTTGGCATATTTACTCTGGCAGCGCCCTGGGCCTGCGCAGTGTGAGGGCTCTCGTGGCCGGCACCTTGTGCTGTTTCTTGCTGCTGGGGTGTGCACAGGGTATGGGGTATGTGCGACTCCGTGCTCGGGATTAACCACCACCACTAGAGCCGACCTAATGATGGATGTGTGGTGTCCCCTCCCCTCCGTGGCGGTCAGAGCCGAGTCGAGGGGGATGGCAGTGAGCAGCACTGGCACTGCTGTTGGGGCTTTCCTCTGTGGTGGGTTTTCATTTTAGGTCTGTCCTTGGAGGCGCTGGTAGGCATTGCATGCCTCCCTTTAGGCTTCTTTATCCCTAGTTTATGGAAAAAACTTTGCCTTCCTTCATCTCTTCTAACATACTCCATTGGGAGCACAGGGGTCAGGAGCACTGAGGTCTGCCTGTCGGGCAGGGAGCCTTTTCCCCTTTTTTTGCTCCACACATCTCTGCTCCAGCTTAACCTGGGCTGGGAAGAGCTTCCGTGTAGCGGGGTTTCCTGTGGCCCTCAGCACCGTGTTGGCCCCTGGGGGCTGTCCAAGAGCTGGTGTTGGTCCCTCGTGTCACGGGGCTTCGGCCGCTTGGATATTGCGGGGGCTCTGATAAATGGGGTGAAAGGGTGGTAGAAGCTGTTCGGGAGCAGCGCTTGCCACAGATGCTGATGAGGATATCTCAAGATAACCTTTGGTTTACAGGAGCTTTTATTACTTTATTAAACCCCAAATGCTTGAACAGAAATATTTCACCTTGCTCTGTGCCAAAACTTGAGCCTCTGAGAATGAGGGAGAGGGAAAAAGGATATGAGCAGAGGAAATTAAAGGCTGTTGATGCAAATTTATCCTGATTTGCAATAACAGATAAGCCGGAGCCATCGCAACTCAGCTCCTCTGATGCCCAGATTTTGGGCATCAGCGGTGCTCAGGGGGTAAATGCTGTTTGCCCTGAGCCCAGGGTGGATGCCGCCCTATGGGGGCTATTTGAGCAAGGGTTTCTCCTGTGGGACCCGGATCTGCTCCCCGCTCAGCCCAGACCTGTGCACGCTGCCGGCAGCCAGGCCTGTCGGCGTCTCGCGTTTCCCAGTAAAAGGCTCCCACCTATTGGTTATGCTGCACAATTTCAGCTTGCCGTACCCGCTGCTCCGTGTGCTCAGCACCAGGTCGCTGCTGCTGTCGCCTCCCTGCGTGGCTGGCAGCATTCCCTGCCTTCAGTGGGAAGCTGCTGTGGGGGACACAGCGGGGTTTAACCCAAACAAGAGGTGACAAGAAGAGGGAAACGTGTTGGTTGGCAAACATGTAACCCGCGTTGCTGCCCATCCGTCTGTCCCCTTGCAGCTGCATGAGATGGCAGCAGGACCCCTCAGGGACTTGCCTCCCGCTGCCCGGGGTCCCTGGGTGCCCCTAGGGATCAGCAGGAGCTGCCAGCAGGGTGGACCGACCATGGCATGGTCCACAGTGGTCCCACGGGGTGGAAAAGCACAGATTGCACTTGGCAAGTCAAGTAAGAAGGCAGTGATTTGTAATCAGACATCTTCTATATGAAAGAACTTTAAAAAACCCTCTTTCAGAGTCTTGGTGGCTTAAAGGCAGCAAAATAAAATACCCCACATTGACCCAAACAGTTCAGCCCGGGCGAAGCCTGCCTGGGCGCTTGCTGTGCTGTCGCAGGTTGTCTCGCACGTGGCGTTTCCAAGTAGGGCACAGTCCCGGTGGCAACGTTGCCCATCATTCGGTGGCCGGTGCCGGACAGACCGCTCGGCGGTGGCACTTAGCCAGGCTGCACTGTGGGGTCCTGCCCGCTAGTCCACCTTGCGCGGGGCGCAGCCTTCCAGCTCCAGCAGCTCGGGCCAGCCGTCGTATTTGTTGGTCTCCTTGTTGTTCTTGATGTGCTGGGGAGGAAACAGGGAAGGAAACCATGAGTTTGGTGGTGGAGAGTGGCCCCCTGCACTGCAACCTGTCCTTGCCCTGGGGACAGGTGATACCTCCTCGAAGGGGCTCTTCGCACTCAGCCCTTTGGCTCCCAGGAAAACCCAGTTGTCGCGGAAGCCCAGGTTGCCCACGAAGCTGCTGCCCAGCTCTGTAAAAAGCGTCCGGACTGTGTCGGTCATCCTAAGAGAGGGAAGAAAAGATGCCAGAAGAGCTCAGCATGGTGCCTGTTTGGTATTCCTGTGCCCTGATCCTGCTGCATCAACCCTCCTCCCCTCCCCGATATTGCCATTTTGCAATTTTGCAGGGGGATGTCAAGGAGGCAACATGGTTGTAGAGCCAGTGGTTGCTAGATCCTGCTGCATCAACCCCCTCCACCCAGCTCCCGATATGGCCATTTTGCAATTTTGCAAGGGGATGTCAAGGAGCCAACATGGTTGTAGAGCCAGTGGTTGCTGTGAGCAAGGAGGAATTGAGGGACAGGGCTGCAGGCGATGCCTGGACCCCCGGCCGGGCCCGAGCGGCAGCACCTCTGGATCATCCTCCCATGGCCGTGGGTTTCGGGAGAGCTGGATGCTGCTCCTGGGCTGGACTCACTTTGTGGCGGGATCATCGAAGGTGGCCGTCAGCACAATGGTACCAGTTTTGATTTCTGTCAGGAAGGTCTCCAGCAGCTTAATGTCTGGGAGAGGGAAATATTGGGGAAAAAAAAGGAGGGATTCAGCAGGCACTGCT